AAGCCACAAACCTATTATGAGTTTGTACTTCTTTTTAATTAGCTAAACAGATCACGATTTTATTAGTATTAATAGTTAGTTTCCGAAAAATAAAGGGGTGTCACTTTAGGAGACCTATGTCAGTATCGGCGACTTTCCTCTACTATCACTACTCCCTCGTATTGTGTCTAAAGCTTTAGTCATATCACAGGCCAGTATTCACATAGTCGAATTTTATATACTAAACAGTATATATAAATAAAACATGTAAATATAGAGTATTTTTTAAATGAAGTATATTTGTCATTTCCGTTATTTGTAAAATTGAAACCCTGGAATCATGAGTTAAAAAAATAAAAAAAAACAAATTTAACTTTTAATTTTTCAATTACTTTTTTTTATTAACTTAACTTTTAATTTAATTAATTTCATTATAAAATAACTTATATTTTAATTAAGTTAAATTTTTAAGGTTGTGTTAACTTTAACTTAACTTAGTTAAAAAAAAAGTTAACTTATTCAACCCTGCATACAATGCACATATAAACTTGGAAAGAGTTATGGAATGATGTTTTTGTTGTGGCTCTTTATCGTATTATTGCCGATGTCCTTTCGGTAAATCGCTTTTGCCTCGATTCATTAATTTTATGATACTCAATTGATAAGCCCAGTTAACGCCACTCCGGGAAGCCTTCACGATTGAATTTATTGCCGCGCCTCTCCCCCCCATGATAAAATTTCGTTATATATCTCACTGCAAACCTAATAAACACCAACTAATACCAACTAAGTAGAGTGGAATTTGAGCTTTTTCATCCATTTCTCGTGATAATGTTTATGTTTCTGAATAATACATGTTGATTATTTAAAAGTTGCACTTATGCTCTCAAGAAGCAATCATTATTGTATAATGTAATTATAAGCACTGCAAAGAGACGTTGTTTGCTATCGCAAATTTTTGTGTTACTTTAAAGTTGAAACTGACGAAATAACACCGCCCTTCCTGATGTTATAACGTCACACTCAACAATATAATTATATTGTTGAACAACCATTACATTTAAATGTAATGTCATTAATATATAACTGTAATGTAATGTAATTGAGTGTGAGAATGATTAACTACGATTGGTCAATTTTTACGTCTTACAGTTATAATTGCAGATTGTAGAGTAAAGACCGCGACACAGACTTTTGCATAAAGCATAATGCATGGTGCATAAACGAATCAACTAATCAGAATCTTTCCTTTCCTCCCATTCCATGGAAAAGAAGAATTTCGATTGGTTGATTCTCTTGCAAAAGCTTGTGTCTGGGCTCTAAGGGTCCACAAAATGGCACACAAAAAAGACTAGGGATGCACCGGATATTCGGGAAAAATTGCCGTGTATTGAATATGTGGCAAATATCTGGTATATTTCTAAAAAATATATCAGTGATTAGGGATGCACTGGATTCTAAAATTACGAAATATCGGATATCCGGTGACAAATTCTTTTCTGATATCCGGTCGGATATCCGGTAAGGCAATTATTCGACCGGATACCGAATATTTCCTCGAATATCTCGTCGGATATCTGAAAAAGGCTTCTGTGAAAAAAAGGAAAAATAATTTTCTTTATCTTCTCAACGTGAAAAGAAAAAGAGGAAAGATGAACTGTACAAGAAATGCGGCTGAAAAGAATAAAATTCTGCATTAATGATACAAATTGTCAATACGAAATTTCAATAGGATATAATACCGGATACTAATGATATCCAGCTATTCGCTCGGATAGTAAAAAAATGCCGGATACTGGATTTTTTTACTATCCGAGCGAATAGCTGGATATCATTAGTATCCAGTATATTAGTATCCAGTATCAGTATCCTTACGTTTCACTTAAGTTTTTTATAGGGATCCCTATAAAAAAACTTAAGTGAAACGTAAGCACGTGAATTGATCAATCACGGTATAGACTTTAAAGTCATAATATATAAGCAGTAGTAAGGATAAAATTTCTGTAATAGTAACCTTAAGACGTGAACTTATATAAGCCGATGAGCCAATCAGGATACTGCTTTAGATCTACGTACTCTAACGGAAATAGAAATAGCAGTAAACTTATTCGTAAGGCGAGTTTCAACCAATTAAAATTCACCTTATTACGAGGTTATGGATAAGTTTACTATTATTTCCATTTCCGTTAGATTACATAATCTAATGCAGTATCCTGATTGATTCATCGGCTTAAATTTACACCTTATGCATACTGTTACGGAATTTTGTGTGCGGCAGCCCTAAATTTAAGGCGTTGTCTACAATATGCGAAGTAAGCTTGGTTTAAGAAGTAAGAGTAAGAAATTGACCAATCACAGTCGATTGTGAAAAGAATAATCGACTGTGATTGGTCAATTTCTTACTCTTACTTCTTACTCCGTGTATTGTAGACGACGCCTGACATGTTGATTTCCTTAAGTCCGGATCTATAATAGGGTTTTAAGCCTTAAGCCATAAGAAATGGGCGAATCACAGTCGTTTATTCTTCTCGGATTCGACTGTAATTGGTCAATTTCTTACGGCTTAAGGCTTAAAACACCTATTGTAGATCCGGGGTAATGCTTACGTTTTACTGTGTGCTGTGGCCCAACAGTTAAATTGTTGAGTATGAAATTATAACATTGATGTTACGTTACTGTTAGTTGATGTTTTAGAAAGTTACATCGCGAGGATCCCTGATTTTCCGCGAGATCGAAGTCACAAATGCGAATCACGTGTCTACGTACAACGGAAATATCGATAATGTTTGGCAACGCGGGCCAGGAGTAATCATATAAAACGTAAAAAAACAATTAGTAAGGAAGAATGATTGAAAGGAGCGAGCGAGAGCCGACGACCGCGCAGTTTTCGACGATGGCAGAGTATGAATAAATATTGATCGGAACAAAATGGCTCTCGTCAAGACGTCACGCGTTTATCGCGCGATCGACCTTAAAATCAACAATTTCGAAATATTCATCTTAGACGAGCGTGCGTTTAAATATAGTCTCGCGGTCGAAGAGCGCGAGAGCGCGTTTCTTCCTACGAGCCTTCGGCCCACGCTACGGCCCAATTCCTTCCTCCCGCCTCTCTTCATCGGACAATATTAACGAAGGAGTGCCTTCCGAGAGACGGCTGCACTTTACTCTGACTATATTTGACATAATCGCTATGTAAGCTCGTTTAAAGTCTCGTCGCGTTTACGACTGTGGCGCAAGACTTTTGTTGTTTCTTGTTTAACGTGGAATATCTTGCCGTGCTTTGTATTCCCAGGATAACTAAATCCGTCGAATACAAGTTATACATATAAATATATAAATACGTATAATATATCCTTGATATTATTCCTTTAATATCCATGAAATATTATTAAAATATTAATTAATATTAATTATTATAAAACCGTAATGTGAATTCAGAATAAGTAACAACAAGCTCTTATCGGTCTCAGCTGATCTTAATGCTTTGCTTTGGCACGATTTTATGTACACATCCAGTTCTACGCGACAATAATTT